CCATGTTGTTTCCATGGCTCAAACCTTGCACATGGCACATCACAAAATTATTTCAAGACAACTTAGGTTGAATACCAAGTACAGATGAATTGATTGCACTATTTTGGCATCTTGATTATATTTCAGCTAACAGAGTGCTCAAGTCTGATTTCCTGCTCTGACATGACTTCCTATTTGCTTGAGTGAGTGAGTGAGTGAGTGAGTGAGTGAGTGAGTGAGTGAGTGAGTGAGTATGGTTTTACGCCGCTTTTAGCAATATTCCAGCAATATCACGGCAGGGGACACCAGAAATGGGCTTCACACATTGTACCCATGTCAGAAATCGAACCCGGGTCTTCGGCGTGACGAGCGAACGCTTTAACCACTAGGCTACCCGACCGCCCCTCTATTTGCTTGAATATGATTCTTTGAAAGTTTCTTTTAGAATCTCTGAAACAGTCCCTCCAAAGATATGTACATGTCCAGGTTGTCTAGTCTGTCACTAGTCTGCTAGCTCTTGTCAGTTTGTCCAATGTTAAAAGTTGAACATGACGCAAAGTAGAATTCATTGTCCTTTTACATGTTATCATAATACGCAAGTAAATGCTTCAGGTTGTTTTCCACTGCTGCATAATGTCTTATACAATTTTCTGATAATGGACGATGGCGCTTACAGGCTGTGATTATATAAACGTAACTTTTAGTTTCATCCACTTGAGGGTTGGACAAGCACTTCTCCCACACACTTTTTCCTATTCTCAGTGCCAAAAGATACAGTGAAGCAGAAATCTGCATCCTTGGGAGTCTGGTATCAAAGCCAGATGCCGACCTCTTCCCCTCGTTAGTTCAGGTGAAAGACTCCTGCGTGTGTTGGCTGTTTATGGTGGGATGTTCTTGACAGGGGATGACTTCGTTTCCTTCCTGTTTCCGTATCCCACGCCCTGTTGGAGGAGGCTGGCCAACATTCCCCTTGGACTCACAAACAAACACCAGCATCACTACTTCCAGATCACCTTACCTTGGGCCATCGCCATGTCCCCCACAAACATCACTACTTCCAGATCCCCTTACCTTGGGCCATCGCCATGTCCCCCACAAACATCACTACTTCCAGATCCCCTTACCTTGGGACATCACCGTGTCCCCCACAAACATCACTACTTCCAGATCCCCTTACCTTGGGACATCACCATGTCCCCCACAAACATCACTACTTCCAGATCCCCTTACCTTGGGCCATCGCCATGTCCCCCACAAACATCACTACTTCCAGATCCCCTTACCTTGGGCCATCGCCATGTCCCCCACAAACATCACTACTTCCAGATCCCCTTACCTTGGGACATTGCCATGTCCCCCACAATCATCACTACTTCCAGATCCCCTTACCTTGGGCCATCGCCATGTCCCCCACAAACATCACTACTTCCAGATCCCCTTACCTTGGGCCATCGCCATGTCCCCCACAAACATCACTACTTCCATAAGCCTATCAGACCAACAAAACACATACTTTGATTTAAAGGAATATTAATCGGCTGTAATTTTTCAGATTGGAAAAATGAAAATATTTCCAACAGCTATTGCTTAATCTTTATCTTTACCATTCTCCAAGAATTAAACTCCATGCCACAAAAGCTGAATTTCCCATTCAGCCTCGACAACCAACCATCAATAAATAACTCAAAACAAATAATTCACCTTTCTGAAATTTAAAGACAACTAACTAGTATTCGACAGCAAATGAAATGATAAATCAAATTTTAAATCATACAGGAAAAGAATATGCCCTGGACTCATAAATCTCAGCTGTACGACCATACAGTTCAATCAATAACGAGGCACCTGGTAATTGTACTCTAATATATCTCTACATCCTGCGGGATGAGTTTCCGTTTCACTTTCCCAAATTAATACTGCTTGCAATGACATATTTACATGTGGGAATGGGGCCAACTGACAGTAACAGTATTCAGGATCATGGTTTGCTTGTGGCAGATAATTATGTCCCGAGAATGACCAGATAATGCTGAGAACCTGACCGAACTGAACATAAATTGTTTGATAGGCATTACTTAGAAGTTATACTGTTGTCAAGCAAGTGAGTGAGTGAGTGAGTGAATATTGCTTAACGCCGCATCAGCAATTTTGCAGCTATTCGCGGCTAGCAAGGACAACAGTGTAGGATCTATTCCGAAATGTTGCTTTTCATAGTATTAAAGAAGTTGTTATCCATAAAATTGTGTCTACCTTGAGAACTGAACATGACTGTGGAAATTCTCATACAACTTCACACAAATGACTCCATTTACCTGTACAGCTACATACAAATTACCAAAGTCCTCCCCAAATTTAATCTTATTATTCCTAATAGTATAATAATAATTCAAACAATTATAGTTAAATAGATCTGTGATAAAGAAGATGGTCTTTCATAAAAGTGATAAAATCATGAAAATCTCTATAATTTGTCTGAAAAATTCTCACTTTTGTTGGATTTGCACTCAGCAATATTCCACCTATATGATGGCAGTCTGTGTTTAATCGAGTCTGGACCAGACAATCCAGTGATTGACATCACAAGCATCGATCCATGCAATTTGGCAACGATGACATGCATCAACCAAGTCTACCTCTGGAAGTTATTGGGGGCACCGATGGTCCAGTCTAAGGCGCCGCGATTCGCTGTGCAGAGTTGTGTCCCTTTGGCATGCCAGAAACCGATGATTGTGGGTTTGAATCATTTCGGGCTTTCCTTCCACATTAACCTGACATGCCGCGACATAACTGGAATACTGTTAAAAGCGACGTTAATCCCAACTCACTCACTCACTCTATAAGTTATTCATGGGAAATATATATCTATATTGCACTGATAAAACATATTGGCACATATATATTTAGTTTCTACTCTACTACATAAAATGAAATAAATTCTATTGGAAAAAAACAGCACTAACATTTAACAGCATTGAAAGCAAGAGAATAATTATTTAGGGGATCATTCAGGTACAAGCCCTATCACCAATCTAGATGTGGGCTCACTGAAGCACTAACATTAGCAATAATCTCATGTTGAAAGAAAACTTTAAAGTTTGGCCTGGTTCAACTGTTCACAGCTCCGACAGATTGAGGTGTACACCAATAACTGTAGCATCTGAGTGCTGGGAGCAGCTGGGAGACTGCAGATGAGGGGCTGGGACTATCTCCATGCTGCAGATAGAGCCAGTCTTGTAACACCCTGGAGGGAACCATCACGCTCACTTAACTTGCAATGACAGTCATCCAAAGAATGCCCGCTTCAGATATCAATAAGTTTATTATTAAGGTTAGGGGAAGCTATTCGGAGAAATATCTTGTTTTTATGTTTGGATGGATGGCATCTGAACTTCTACACCTTAGTAAGAAAAATATGCAAGTTTAAATTTTTTTAGACCAAGGCACCCGATCTTCAAAGCCTTGAGTAATCTCCTTCATCAGAGAGCCTGTTTATTTTGATAGTCTCAGATAAAATTAGTTGGCCTTGTCTGGTACCTTCTTCTCCCTTCTTTCTGGTCTTTCATCAACATATTCAGTATCATTGCTGCACAGGGTAAAAAAAAGCTTCCAAGCTGACAGGTAACCTAATCTCAGATTAGAGTGAGTGAGTTGGGTTTAACGCCGCTTTTAACAGTACACCAGTTATATCACGGTGTGACAGCTTAATGTTGGAGGAAAGCCCGAAGTGATGCAGGTTTCAGACATTTACCACTTCCGTGAAACCTGCGAGCACAGGTATGGTGCTGACAAACCCAGAAACATAATTAAGGTGAACCAGGATTCGAACCCACAATCATAGGTTTCTGGCATGCCAAAAGGGATGTAACTCTGCACAGCAAATCACAGCGCCTTAGAACTGACTATTTTGTTATCTTTGAGTTCGAGAGGTAAAACATTTTTGAATCTTGGCAAATACAGAACCATCTCTTGAACATTACTTGCATTTGGGAGAACAGTACTGCAGCTACATAAGTTTTGATATATTGTGGCATGAATTAGCAAGATTACTTAAATAATTGACTGCCATGTTGATCATTGTCATAAAAATATCAAAATTAATACAAAGCTAAGTGACATACATACTTTTTCAAAATATAATCTTATCTTGTATATACTTTCATTAGCCGATATCTTTAAGAAATACGAATCCTACAACATTACTGATGATCTCCCTCTAGATACCGGGGTATATGCAGTCCAGTAAAACTTCATTCAGAGGTATTTATGATACACACTGTGCAAAAAACTACTTGTGACATTTTAACATTTTAACAAAACAATTCGCTTCAGCTTTTCTGAAAATGATTCTCTTATCCTTTGTGACAATTCCATTCAGAGAAATAGATGTAAGCAAGACGTTCATACACCACCATTCATCATGGAGCATAATTCTGTCAGAAATATTCAGAGGATCTGCAATCTTGATAACCAGAGACTAAACATGAGAACTCCAGACACATGAAATATGATAATATCACCATCCTTTCCGCATGAAGTCTTTCCAGAGAACAAAATTGACATTTTGAAGCATCACCTATATTCCAAGAGGACATCATGTCAAGGACAGAAAAAATATTCCCATAGAACATCATGAAGTTATCTGTTGACTGAAGTTGTCATCTTCAATTTGTTCAAAAATGTCACAGGTGAGTTGGAATGAGACGGCTCCTTTCTGAGTGCAATTCCAGAAACACAAACAGCTTGATAACTTTTTTTCCTCCTCTCCTGCGAAGCACCTGCCGACCTTGCAACACTTCCTCGGAACAATTACGGTACAATTACATCTCTTATCATACTTACACATCAAGGCTAGGACCGATTTCACAAGGAGAAAAAATATGGATGTGACGAGCGATAGATTTATGAGATATGGAAACACTTTCTATCAATTCTTCCTCTTCTTGAGCCTCCAGGAAGAAACCACTCTCCTACAAGCATCTTACAATAATTTCAGTGATCATAAGACTTAAGGACTCACTCACTCATAATGAGGATTTCTGATGAGACGAATCCAGGGAAACCAAAGAAATCTCCACTTATATAGAAATCCCACTTCTTCCACCAATCTGAAGAAACAAATTAAGCTTCTTTCTCCGCGGTGAACACTTTATCTTCATGGACAAGTAAGTAATTGCAAATCTTTCACCGAAATGCCCAATCCCCGTCAATCAGCACACCTGGGCAACACAGCTCTTTAGGAAATGAAATTCACAACTCTGGACAATACTCCAACACCAAGGTAATCAGGACCAATTTCTGGTGTCCCAGCAACACAGGTAGCCCGTAATCCTCCTGACAAACGGCAAACTTTCGCTAACCGACAGCAGGAAAGTGAATGTCTTCGGCCAGTGAAGAGCTGCCCCGCTTCCTGACACCACTGTAATTGCTATGGATGTCTGCTGTCTTGTCTAGTGAAAGTCTCCTCACTATCTGCGAGGCCCATCACAGCAGCACTGCATGGCAGTCTGATAACTGGTCTGAGGCGAGGATAGCCAGTATTTGGTGATAGTTGTATGGCCTGTGATAGGCTCGGCTCCTCTCATGAGCTCTGTGCTGATAGACTAGCAGTAGAATCTGTACGCACCTGGCCAACAGGCTTAGAACATGCTGGCCAGTGGAATCACTTGCCTTTTTATCAGCTCTCGAGGTAACCCAATCCTTGTAAACATCATCATGATTCATACAGCCTTACTTTTAGTTTTTAAGCTACTGATTCACATTTGAAACATCTTGACACAACAAGGTGAACTACATCGTGGCCCTAGTTCAGGTTTACACTCATCAACACAAACAATGATAACTGCTTTATCCATTACTTTCTTTCCCTACAGCTCAACTAATGGCTTCTAGGTGAAATCAGACCTGAGCAGAGTGAAATTGAAACTTAAAGACTAAACCATAAAAATTCACAAAGTTGATAACCCTGCACCAAGAAGCATGTGTGCCTCACCATGGATGGGAATTATCTACAATGGACATCCATGATCGCTCTGGACTGACATACAGTCCCTCTATGAAGTTGTGTATGACATGAAATGAAATGATTCTACACTGACTGACTGAGTATGGTTTTACGCCGCTTTTAGCAATATTCCAGCAATATCATGGCGGGGGACACCAGAAATGGGCTTCACACATTGTACCCATGTCAGGAATCGAACCCGGGTCTTCGACGTGACGAGCGAACGCTTTAACCACTAGGCTACCCGACCGCCCCAAATAATTCTACAGGGGAGTGAGCGAGAGTTAGGTTTTATGCCACTTTGAACAGTATTCCAGTTATATCATGGCATGTAAGTTTGATGTGAGAGGAAAGCCTGAAGTGATGCATGCCTTAAACAGATGATTAGTTGAAAAAATATGATACTCTAGGGTCTGTTACACAGAGAGTCAAGTCTCTCAAACAGACCCTAAAACAAAAAATACCTTCAAAAGTTCCCACACAACTAAACAATTTGGCTAGATTTTAACCTCAAATGAAGAGATCCTCAAGGATTCTTTCTTTTGTACACCACTCTAAAAAAGTTTAAAGATCACCTGATTCTTTCGTATTAACTGCAGTTAATCTGTCATGCCATGACTTCTTAAAAAAGTATATATAAATATTAAACGACTATTAAACTAACTTAACGTTACATAGTTTCACTTAAGAGACAAAACGTAAGTCAACAACAAAGACAGTAAACAGAACTAACCATTACAAGTTACAGAACTAACCATTACAAGTTACAGAACTAACCATTACAAGTTACAGAACTAACCATTACAAGTTACAGAACTAACCCATTACAAGTTACAGAACTAACCATTACAAGTTACAGAACTAACCATTACAAGTTACAGAACTAACCATTACAGAACTAACCATTACAAGTTACAGAACTAACCATTACAGAACTAACCATTACAAGTTACAGAACTAACCATTACAAGTTACAGAACTAACCATTACAAGTTACAGAACTAACCCATTACAAGTTACAGAACTAACCATTACAAGTTACAAAACTAACCATTACAAGTTACAGAACTAACCATTACAAGTTACAGAACTAACCATTACAAGTTACAGAACTAACCCATTACAAGTTACAGAACTAACCATTACAAGTTACAGAACTAACCATTACAAGTTACAGAACTAACCATTACAAGTTACAGAACTAACCATTACAAGTTACAGAACTAACCCATTACAAGTTACAGAACTAACCATTACAAGTTACAGAACTAACCATTACAAGTTACAGAACTAACCATTACAAGTTACAGAACTAACCATTACAAGTTACAGAACTAACCATTACAAGTTACAGAACTAACCATTACAAGTTAGAATCCATTCCATTCTCACACCATTATGATCAGTTCAAGTCCTATAGAATGTCATGGATCGTTATAGACTCATTCAAGCCTTCTCACACATTTTCCTCATGACGTAAAGATTGGGGATAGTTTTGGGATACACATTAGCCTCTTCTGATTGTCAGATAGTGCCATGAGTTCAGCTTAATCATTGGCTGGTATCTTCATTTCTTGGTCTTTTTCAAAACTAGGTTTGAAATGCAGCAATGCCATGTCATTGGTTGATGGAAGCCATACGTCCCAACACAGACTAAGCTACTCAGCAAAGACAGGCCTTTTTGCCTTCGATTTCAATAAGGGGGCGGTCGGGTAGCCTAGTGGTTAAAGCGTTCGCTTGTCATGCCGAAGACCCGGGTTCGATTCCCGACATGGGTACATCGTGTGAAGCCCATTTCTGGTGTCCCCCGCCGTGATATTGCTGGAATATTGCTAAAAGCGGCGTGAAACCATATTCAATCTCTCATTCAATTTCAATAACAACATCATCACTTAAGTCTAATTTTACCCACAAGGGACGGATAGAGGTGAAATTAACTTCAGTTATTCTCACTAAGCATAATAACTAGTGTCCCCCTGTATTCATTGTTTGCAAAGAGGCCAATTATACAAAGCAACGTGACATCATACGAACTAGGGATGTCACGATTCGCCAATATACATTGGTGCATTACTGACTTCTCAGACGATATGATACGCCGTCTACATTTACCTGTATCGATTCACATTTTAATCCTGTATCGATTCACATTTTAATCCTGTATCGTTTCACACATGGAACATTTAATGACAGATTATCTGCCCCCCGAGAATTAACACTGAAAGTTCCTCGTCAAGGTTTTGAACTTACAAAACAAAGAACAGATAATCCGTTTGTTGTACTTGCACATTATTCTCTAATCATGCTAATTGATGCTATCTTGTTACACAAATTTCCATCTATGCAGGAGAAATATCATACTGCAATATTTAACATGGCATACTTCAGCACAACAAACCAGTGAGAGAGTGAGTTGGGTTTAACACCTCTTTTAACAGTATTCCAGTAATATCACGGCATGTCAGCTTAATGTGGAAGGAAAGCCCGAAGTGATGCAGGTCTCAGACGTTTACCACTTCAGTGAAACCCACGAGCACGGGTATGGTGCTGACAAACCTAGAAACATAATCGAGGCGAACCGGGATTCGAACCCACAATCATAGGTTTCTGGCATGCCCAATGGACACAACTCTGCACAGCGAATCGTGGCGCCTCAGACGACTGGCCCACCTGTGCCCCCTCGCAACAAACCAGTGCAGGAAATACGCACATCCTGGGACCCTTGATATTTGATGCTGTTTGATCAAAGGATTCTCAAAATCTGAAACAGTGGCCCCATGACGGTCATGATTAATTTCCAACACAGATAACCATGACAACCAACCAACTACACTGGGCACGAAATATCATAAAATTTACTGGAGTCACATGTTATCTTTTTCTTGATTTTTAGTTGTCCAATATTCAAATTTGTAAAACACCAACTTTGAATGGTAAACCTTGTTTACAAGTAACATGTTGGTGAATCAGAATCCCAACAACAACAATGATGAACGGATCTGGATCAAGCTCTCAGACAAAGGCTTGTCATAATTCACCACAGGGTCTCTGACTATCAGGTGTGTTGTGTAACACCTCTCCGGTATTACCAACAGATCATTATTAATAAGCTATTCTTATCTTCTCAGTTCATAATAAACAGTAAGGAAGAGTGTCCATATCCTCAGCTGTGTGTCACTCATGGGCCATGCCATGCTCATCGGCAGGTGCTTGTTCAGTCCTGCCGACCCCATCCGGCCAGTCATGCAATTCACTGTGGAGGGTTGTGTCCCTTGTGTGAAGGTGAGGTGAAAATTGGTTTAACGTCGCGTCCAAGATTATTGCACTTATATAGCGATGTGCATGCAGGTGTTTGTGTTCGGCTGCTTGTACTAGTCCGGACTGATGCCGATTTATAGTGCTAGCTCACTGAGATACCATGCCACAGTTTAACATGAATACCCCACTCAGACACAGTATACTGACTCCGAGCCGACCAGTCCTTGTTTTAACCCCTTAATGCCATCTTTTAACGTCTTTTGGTATGACGCGGCCGGGGATCAAACCCCGGACCTTTTGCTCTCCGGGCGGACGCTCTAACAATAGACCACGGAGGCGGTCTGTCCCTTGTGAGCCAAAAGTTTATGATCGTGGGTTTGAATCCCATATTCACCTGATGATGTTTCTTGGTCCATCAGCCCTAACGATGCTGTGAGGTTTCACCCAAGTGGTAAACAAAGGTCTGCATTACTTTCCTCCCATATCTAGATGACAGTATTGCAGTAAAACCAAACTCACTCACTCACTCTAGTCCAGCACCAAGGACAGAGTTTTAATCGACAAACAAATATGCATCCAATACGCACAAATGTTGAGACCGGATGTACCGACACCACATCAATGGCAGTGATGGGTGTCTGCCATGTCATCCATCAATCATGACCCCTGTCCACATGACGACTGATTCATTCCAGGATCAAAGTTATTATCCAAACAAACAATACATGACCTTACAGGACCCTCATAATTAATTATTGGGGGTCCCCTTGATCCTCACTTCTGTAAGTCAAGGTTAAAGCCTGGTGGAGAATATCTGCATTTAATTTATAGAAGGGAGTTGTTGGTACAATTAATACTATTGTGCATCCCTACGGACGTAGTATATCCTTTTTCTGCGTCTCAACATTTGTTTGTATTGGAAGCATATTTGTTTGTCGCGTAAAACCCTGTCCATAGTTCTGGACTAAAGTGAGTGAGTTAGTTTGGTTTATCAGTATTTTAGTGATATGGTTGGGATGAAACCAATAACCAATACCTACGATGTTATCGGTACTTCGGTACACACGATACTTGAATCGTCAGTTTGTGAGATCAGAATATGCTATAAATAGATCAGAACTAATACAGTTACCCCCCCATAATGGCAGAGTGAGTGAGTGAGTGAGTGAGTGAGTGAGTGAGTGAGTGAGTGAGT